GGGTCGCTATGGGTCGGAATCGACTCGACGGCACTTAACAACAACAACAGAGCTCTTTATAGCCTGTTCTAATTCAGCCATCAGGATAGGAGTGGCTTGTGTGGGTTTGAATTGCCGACCTTGCAGATAACAATCCAGAAACACACAAGGCAAATGTTACTGTTTTTTGTTGTTGTTATTGTGTGCCATCTAGTCAGGTCTGACTCATAGTGATCCTGAATAGGGTTTCGAAGGCTATAAATCTTAACAAGAGCAGGAAGCCTCATCTTTCACCCATGGATTTGAACTGCTGACCTTGCAGTTAACAGCCAACAGCCCAACGTGTAACCTGGTATATACCACCAGGGCTCCTTACACATGACAACTGTTGTTGTTGTTGCTAAGTATCATCAAGTCAGTTCCAACTCTTAGAGACACTCTACATAGGGTTACTGAAGCTGTAAATCTTTGCGGGAGCAGAAAGCCTCATCTTTCTCCCGAGGATCTACTGGTGGGCTTGAACGGCCAAACTTGTGGTTCGAAGTCCAGTGCTTATTATATGGAGCCACCTCACTCTCTTGTTGTTGTTATGTGCTATCAAGTTGGTTCTGACTCAAAGCAACCTTCCAGAGAGTGGCTAGTGGGTTTGAACTGTCGACCTTTCAGTTAGCAGTCCTGTGCACCACTCCAGGAGCATCTTAATTTAACCTGTTGTCTCCAGGGCTGCCCACTAGATGGCGATGATGATTCCTCTCTGTTCTATAATTTTTGAGTTCAGGCAGATCCTGGGCTGCAAATATCCAGCATGCATAAATACAACCCATAGTTACAAAACAACCACTGTAAAACCTATTCTATAAAAAATTAGAGGTACAGAAAGTGGTTCATAAAATCAAATGGGTGCTACTTGGCAACACGCATCAAACCATTTTGGTTACTACTGTATTGTTATGTTATGAACCCTAGTGTGGTGCTGTAGGATAAACACTAGACTGCTAACCACAAGGTCGGCAGTTCAAACCCACCAGTTACTCTCAGAAACCCTATATGGAGTTGCTATGAGTCAGAACCTATGTGATAACACACAACAACATTACTATGTTAAAAATATTGTAATGTATCTGGAAACATTTTTTTTTCATGTGTTTTATGGGCAGAGAGGTGGACTTTGTAATAAGACAAACATTTGACTTTCGATATGAAGCGTATGTGTTCTGACTTGTTTATTCATCTTAAAGACAGACTTAGGAGCGTAACTTGTTTGTAAACTGGGGACGGTCTGTGTATAGATTTGATAATAATGACAATAATAATAATGAGCTAGCATATAGCACAGACATTGTGCTAAGTATTTCACATGCATAGTGGAGATTGAAAAACTGGGATTCATATCCTGGTTATACTTACGTTGTTGTCATGTGCCGTCAAGTCGGTTCTGACCCATGACGACCCTGTATAGGGTTTCTGAGGAGCGACTGGTGAGCCTGAACCGCCGATCTTGCAGTTCAAACCGGCTTTGTAAATCAGCGCATTAACCCACAGCGCCACACCAGGTCTCCGGTTATACTTTTACTTTTTACCATTGCGGAATGTTAGGCAAGTAGGTAATTTTGCTGGACATCACTTTCTTCATTTGCAATATTGAATGACTATACTAATACCTACCCCCTAGTGGAAGTATCCCTGGGGGTAAACATGGCTCAATGCTCTGCTGCTAACCAAAAGGCTGATGGTTTGAACCCACCAGCCACTCCTTGGAAGAAAGATGTGGTAGTCTGCTCTTGGACAGATTACAGTCTTAGAAACCCAATGCGAAGAGTCAGGACAGACTCAAGAGCATCAGCTTTGGTTTTGGCTTACTCCATTTGTTGTTGTTGTTGTTGTTGTTAGGTGCCAGCGAGTCAGTACCGACCCATAGCAACCCTATGCACAACAGAATGAAACACTGCTCAATCCTGGGCCAATCTCACAACTGTTGCCACGCTTGAGCCCATTGATGCTGCCACTTTGCCAATCCATCTTGTTGGGGGTCTTCCTCTTCTTCTCTGACCCTCCACCTTACCAAACATGATATCCTTCTCCAGTGACTGGTCCCTCCTGACAACATGACCAAAGTAAGAGAGACGAAGTTTGGTCATCCTGGCCTCCAAGGAACATTCTGGCTGCACTTCTTCCAACACAGAAGTGTTTTGGCAGCCCATGGCACTTTCAATATTCTCCTCCAACACCATAACTCAAAAGCATCAATTCTTCTACGGTCTTCCTTATTCACTGTCCAGCTTTCACATGCACATGAGGTGATTAAAAATACTATGGTTTTGGTCAGGCACAACTTAGTCCTCAAGCTGACATCTTTGCTCTTCAACACTTTAAATAGGTCTTGTGCAGCACATTTGCCTAATGCAAGATGTCCATAAGGAGGACTAAATGAAATAATAAATGTAAAAGCTCTTAGAAAATAATAATCGCTATGTTGTTAAGTGCCGTCGAGTTGGTTCCGATCCATAGCGACCCTGTGTAGGGTTTCCGAGGAGCAGCTGGTGAGCTTGCACTGCCAACTTCGCAGTTCAAATGGCTTTACAGTCTAGTGCATTAATCCACAGTGCCACACCGGGACTCCAATCGCTATGTAAGAGGTTGTGAAATGAATCTTTTATTTCTGACAGCCCTATGACGTGGTGGTGGTTGGTAAGTACTGTTGAGTTGGTTCTGACTCATAGCAATTCTGTATGAAGTTTCTGAGGCTGTAAATCTTTGCAGGAACAGAAAATCTCATCTTTCTCCCATAAAGTGACTGATGGGCTCAAACCACCAATCTTGAGGTTCACAGTCCAGTGCTTATTCTACAGAACCATTGTTATTTTCCCCATGGAAAATGGAAACTTAGATTGGCTACGCTGTCTAGAATTCTTATTATAGTGTTGTTATTAAGTGCTGTCAAGTCTACCTACACTGGTTGAACTGCCGACCTTGTGGCTCATTGTCCAGTGTTGATCCCACAGAGCCACATCAGGAGTCCATTGTGGTGTTGCTAAACTCAAGTGTGTGGACTCTGATGTGTGTCAAATTTCATAAGCCTACTTTCCCTGTCACATTTCTGAAAATTTACCCATTACCAGCTGAGCAAAGAACATTCTAGGAGTTAGCCAATCCAAGCAAAGAGTCTCCCTTGGGAGATGAGGGTAGGCAAAGAAGTTCTAATGAGTCCTGCCTTCCTGCTGGATTTTTCAGACGATCCATACAAAAAGCAATCCCAGAAATTGGCCAAGGAGCTGGGCAAAGCGGTGGACATCATGGGCAAAGGCAAGAATGGGCTCGGCTTCGGCAAAGTGGACATCACAGTTGAGAAGGAGCTTCAGGAGGAATTTGAAGTTAAGACGACCCCAGACTTGAAGCTGTTTTTTGAGGGCAACAGGTCTGAGCCCATCAGCTGCAAAGGTAATGGAGCTGGTGGGTGGATGAAATGCCTGAGCAGCAGGCATGTCAATGGCTTCACAGATAAGTGTATTTCTTGGTCACATAAAATTCCCTTGGCAGCCAGAGGGTGAAGGTAGAGGTCTTTACTCTACAGAACCCAGGATCTGAGTGCTTCAATTGGTTTGGCACCTGGCCAGCATTTAGGACAAAGCAACCGAAGATTACAATGGGGAGATGTTCATGGTCTGAGCCGGCAAGTGGTGGACATTTGCGTTCCATTCTCCAGTTTCTGTTACATGCCTACCTAACTGCAAGAAAGACATACTGTGGTCCATTGCTCTGACCATAAGGGTTTTCTTTGGGGTCTGGGTTAATTCGTAGCTACCTCCACCACAGCTACTAGGTCCTGAAAGTACCATGAGGTAAGAGGGTGGGCGGCATGGCTTATAGCTACCAACAGAGTTCTTAATTCCAGCCCCTCATCTTCTCCTTAGAATGAGTTTGACATGATCCCAGGCCCACGGTGAACTGCTTTGTCAAAAGGGATGCAGGGGGACTGAGAGATGATGGAACAATACAGGCTTGGGAAGGGATGCCTACCAAACGCTTTCACTGCTCTCGTCATACATTCGCTTTTCCATTTATGGTGCACTTCCCAAGTATCAAGCCCCATCTTGCTCTTGGAGGTGCTTGGAAAATCATGTGCCTAGGAGCAGCACATGTAGGCCTTAATTTAAAATATATATATATGCTAAACTATATAAATGCATAAATGGATTTAGCTGGACGGATGGATGGATGGGATAAAACTGGTGAACCCAGAAATTCTACTCTGCTAGGAGAATACCCCCTTTGTATGTGTAGGAGCCTCGTGGCACAAGTAGCTTGCTATTAACTGTTAACTGAAAGATTGGCAGTTTGAACTCACCCAGCAGCTCTGTGGAAGAAAGTGCTGGCAATCTCCTTCCATAAATATTGCAGCCAAACAAACCCTCTGAGACAGTTCTACTCTGTAACACATGGCTTCACCATGCACTGGAATCGACCTGAGGGCAATTGGTAACTGTAATGGTAAATGTGTCGGTGATCCAACCTCAGGAAACTAAGACTGCCTATCATCCAGTTAACTCCAAGTCATAGCCACCTGGCCTGACATATCAAAGCCTTCCGAGATGCCCAGCTGAGCACTGTTGGAAAAACCGAAGAGGCAGTGGGAAAGAACACCACCAGGATGTGCAGGGATGGCTGGAATGTCTTGCAGTTCTCAAAATGGACACCAGGGGACACAAGAGACACAGGCCAGTCTTGCAGGGGAAGACACTGCAAAAGAGAATCTCAAGTTAAGTTGGGGAAGAGACCAGACAGGGCTCCCAGCAGGCTTGCGGGAGGGTCATGTGGTGGATAGGGAAAAGATGGGCAAAGGGGGCAGGAGCTGTAAGAAAGGGACAGAGACTCCTGCTTCCTATGAACACAGAATGCTGACCTTCACCAACAAGGGGCTCTTTGTGATGTGCTGGTTTAGGGAAGGGTGCTGAAGAGATGTGAAGCCCCCAGATTATTTTCGCAAGGCCTGTGTATGCCCACAAATCATCAGCTGCTGGGGTGGGAGCAAGAGACCAGTTTTGCCTTCCAAAGGCAGGTGAAATGGGACCCTCTCCACTTTGAGGAAGTGAGATGATGAGAGACCACTTGCAAGCTGTGGAGGGGGTTGCCGTAGAAGTTCCCTGAAGCTTTTGGCCTCTGGGCCTGCTTTGTGGTGGGAACCAGTACTGGGGACTTCTGCTGTGTAGAAAGCGTCATCTTCACTTTTATGGACCCAAGTGGTCTGTCACAATTAGCCAGCTCTGCTATTGTGTGAAAGTTCCAGGGAGTTGATTGTGACTCATAGCAACCCGATAAGACAGCGCAGAACTGCACCATGGGGCATCTAAGGTTGTAAATCTTTATGGAAGCAGATCGCCTAATGCTTCTCCCCCAGAGAGTGTGCAGCTCTATATAAATGAATAGTTATGGCTTTGATTCAATAAAGCTTCAGGAAATCAAGTGTTGGGAGGACCTGTAGCTTGCTAACTCTGCTAACCATGTTACACTGAGAGGAAATGGAAGATGTGGTCATTATTATATTTGCCTATTCCTAGTTCAGTGTCTGTCCCCAGATAGTACAAACAGTTCATACACCTACTACTAACTGTCAGTTTGTCGTACTGTGGTGGCTTGTGAGTTGCTGTGATTCTGAAAGCTATGCCACTGGTATTTTAAATACCAGCAGGGTCACCCATGGTGGACAGGTTTCAGATGAGCTTCCAGATGAAGACAGACTAGGAAGAAGGAGTAACAAACTACTT